GTTAACCTGTTGTGAGGACAGGTTGTGTTAACCTGTTGTGAGGACAGGTTGTATTAACGTGGTGAGGACAGGTTATATTAACGTTGTAACAAACTAGGTTTGTTGTAGGAATTATTCAGTATGGTTTCTCATAGACTATGGGGGGTTTGGAAAGTTTGGAGTCAAGCGGTAGTTGACCTGACTCGGGAAGCATGGGGTATCTGTCCTGGGATTAGCGGTTAAGATTACGAAATGGCCAGCGCCTTTGTCTTGAAGCAACGTATAATGAATTATTTTACAGAAGTCAGTAATTTAGAGAAATTCAAGTCTTCATTCAAATTATATTCAATAATATATTCTGTTCAAGTATCCAACGTATTCTCAATTGCCGAAATACTGAGTAAGTCACCGTCAGTGACGTCACGAGCAGGGGACTATCCTCTGACGCACATCAATCTCGACGACCCTGGGTCAAAGGTCACCAAAGCCTCCCATATTTAATAATTCTCAAAGGTCAAATAGCCATATTGTAATTGGAAATAGCCTTTCCCTAAGATGCCTGTGCAATTACCATCAGTTTAAAAGAGTTCAACCATCTGGATGTTCAGTGCAACAGAGATTAGTTGTTCAACTTAAACCCTGCTAGTAAACTTAGTAAACCTAACATAGGAATACCCCCCTAGCTCTGACTAGCTGTGAGGAAGGCAGAGCGAGGGAGATTCAGTGTGGGCCGGTCAACAACTGAGGAAGGTCGTCCACTCTCACCCCCTCCCATATAGATCAGTAGAACACCAGCTGGTCGCAGTAAGAGGTATAGTTTGCTACAGTTTATATAGGGAAATAGTTTATCTCTTGCCTCGTTAGGGAGTGTTAAGATATAGGGAGTGATTTTATTTAGTTTTTGTTTAGATTTTGCATTAATAAATATTTAGTTTGTTATTTGCATTTTTATTATTTCCATGTTATGTGTTTCTCATGTCCTTGTCACGTGGTCTCCACTAGTCTGAGTTTTTGGTTGAGCCGCAAGCCTAACAAAGCGTAAGAGTTCAGTTATCCCTTTGTTTGCTATAGTTTCTCACACTTGACGTAGATTCTTCCCTCCTTTTCCAGGTAATTGGGGATCAAGCCCCAAGGTTTTACTGAGTGATTAATCAGTCCAGACCCCGGTTAACTGACGCTTCTGGTCTTAATGGTCTGGTGGTGGTAGCAGAAGGAGATTCTAGAGTTTGCTAGGAGTCTAGTACCACGTCGCGGGGCTGTAGAATCTTAGCCAGTCAAACGGCTAAGACCACGTCGGCGTAGGATTCGCCGAGAGTAACTCTAGGGTCCCTTGGTATTAAGTAAGTCAATAGAATACAGGCAGGGGGGGGGGGTAAGGGCGATTAGAGAGCCGATTAGAGATGATACCCCCCCCCCCCCGTGTTACAACGTTGTGAGGACAGGTTGTATTAACATGTTGTAAGGACAGGTTGTATTAACATGTTGTAAGGACAGGTTGTATTGACGACGTAAGTACTAACTAGTCCTGCACTTACCAGGTCCAGGTGATGATGTAGGGAGACATCCAATCTTCCATATGGAAACAAACCTTAACATTTGTAATGCTTTATTTCTGCCTTCTACAGATGTGTGTATGTGTGTGTATTCACCTAGTTGTACTTGTAGGGGGTTTAGCTGTGCTCTTTCGGCCCGCTTCTCAGCTGTCAATCAATCAATGTGTGTGTGTGTGTACTCACCTAGTTGTGTTTGCGGGGGTTGAGCTCTGGTTCTTTGGTCCCGCCTCTCAACCGTCAATCACCAGGTGTACAGATTCCTGAGCCTACTGGGCTCTGTCATATCTACACTTGAAACTGTGTATGGAGTCAGCCTCCACCACATCACTTCCTAATGCATTCCATTTGTCAACCACTCTGACTCTAAAACAGTTCTTTCTGATATCTCTGTGGCTCATTTGGGCACTCAGTTTCCACCTGTGTCTCCTCGTGCGTGTGCCCCTTGTGTTAAATAGCCTGTCCTTATCTACCATATCAATTCCATTCAGAATCTTGAATGTGGTGATCATGTCCCCCCCCTAACTCTTCTGTCTTCCAGGGAAGTGAGGTTTAATTCCCGTAGTCTCTCCTCGTAGCTCATACCTCTCAGCTCGGGTACTAGTCTGGTGGCAAACCTTTGAACCTTTTCCAGTTTAGTCTTATCCTTGACTAGATATGGACTCCATGCTGGGGCTGCATACTCCAGGATTGGCCTGACATATGTGGTATACAAGGTTCTGAATGATTCTTTACACAAGTTTCTGAATGCCGTTCGTATGTTGGCCAGCCTGGCATATGCCGCTGATATTATCCTCTTGATATGTGCTGCAGGAGACAGGTCTATCATGATATCAACCCCCCAAGTCTTTTTCCTTCTCTGACTCCTGAAGAATTTCCTCTCCCAGATGATACCTTGTATCTGGCCTCCTGCTCCCTACACCTATCTTCATTACATTACATTTGGTTGGGTTAAACTCTAACAACCATTTGTTCGACCATTCCTTCAGCTTGTCTAGTTCTTCTTGAAGCCTCAAACAGTCCTCTTCTGTTTTAATCCTTCTCATAATTTTGGCATTGTCCGCAAACATTGAGAGAAATGAATCGATACCCTCCGGGAGATCATTTACATGTATCAGAAACAAGATAGGACCGAGTACAGAGCCCTGTGGGACTCCACTGGTGACTTCACGCCAATCAGAGGTCTCACCCCTCACCGTAACTTTCTGCTTCCTATTGCTTAGGTACTCCCTAATCCACTGGAGCACCTTACCAGCTACACCTGCCTGTCTTTCCAGCTTATGTACCAGCCTCTTATGCGGTACTGTGTCGAAGGCTTTCCGACAATCCAAGAAAATGCAGTCCGCCCAGCCCTCTCTTTCTTGCTTAATCTTTGTCACCTGGTTGTAGAATTCTATTAAGCCTGTCAGGCAAGATTTACCCTCCCTGAACCCATGTTGGCGATTTGTCACGAAGTCCCTTCTCTCCAGATGTGTTACCAGGTTTTTTCTCACGATCTTCTCCATCACCTTGCATGGTATACAAGTCAAGGACACTGGCCTGTAGTTCAGTGCCTCTTGCCTGTCGCCCTTTTTGTATATTGGGACCACATTCGCCGTCTTCCATATTTCTGGTAGGTCTCCTGTCTCCAGTGACTTACTATACACTATGGAGAGTGGCAAGCAAAGTGCCTCTGCACACTCTTTCAGTAGCCATGGTGAGATCCCGTCTGGACCAACAGCCTTTCTAACATCCAGATCCAGCAGGTGTCTCTTGACCTCTTCTATCGTAATTTTGAACTCTTCCAAGGCCGCCTGGTTTACCTCCCTTTCTCCTAGCACAGTGACCTCACCTTGTTCTATTGTGAAGACCTCCTGGAACTTCTTGTTGAGTTCTTCACACACCTCTTTGTCATTCTCTGTATACCTGTCCTCGCCTGTTCTAAGTTTCAATACCTGTTCTTTCACTGTTGTTTTCCTTTTGATGTGACTGTGGAGTAGCTTTGGTTCGGTCTTGGCTTTGTTTGCTATATCATTTTCAAAACTTTTCTCTGCTTCTTTTCTCACCCTGACGTACTCATTCCAGGTTCTCTGGTATCTCTCTCTGCTTTCTGGTGTTCTGTTATTCCGGAAGTTCCTCCACGCCCTTTTGTTCAGTTTCTTCGCTTCCATACATGCCCTATTATACCATGGATTCTTCTGTTGTTTCTCGGGTTTTTCCCTTTAGGCCGGGATGAATCTGTTTACTGCCTCCTGACACTTTTGGGTAACATAGTCCATCATACCCTGTAAAGACTTATCTCTGAGGTCTGTGTCCCAAGGCATTTCCCTTAGAAAACTTCTCATCTGTTCATAATTCCCCTTTCGGTATGCCAGCCTTTTGATTCCTAGTTCTTTTTTGGGGGAGATAATTCCTAGCTCTACCAGGAAAGTTCAATACACTGTGGTCACTCATTCCCAAGGGCGCTTCCATCTTAACTTCCCTTATATCTCACTCATTTAGGGTAAATATCAAATCAAGCATTGCTGGTTCATATATGCTTGATATATAACTGATATGCATTTTTTGCTAATTTATTTAAAGTCTTTCTCTCTTAGAGTAAGAGAGAGAGAGCGGGTATAAGTCGGTCCACGGTAAGTATACATTAAGAGCTTACTTTAATTTTAAACTTTATTAAGGAGTGAAACAATCTAACTAGTTGATCAATAACATATTATACTCGTCACGCATCATGCTCAACACCAAACCAAAATTTCCGGGTTAAATCCTCACTACAGAAACATGTTGCCAATCTCAAGACAATATCATTCCAGGCCTAGCTGACGTGGTGTTTACAACCCACTCTGGTAACACTAACTAGGCCACACTCTTTCTCCCATTTGACACATTATGGTAACTCTATCACCCATTCGTATCAACAAATAAATGAGCATATTTAACATTTTATTTATTCAAAATAACAGCCTAAGTCACCAGATGTTGTTACCAAATTGTATTCTGAATAGAGATGTGTTTATAGTCCAAGCGCGGGTTGGACAAGTATATGAGTGGGATTGGGTGGTTATAGATAGGAGCTGCATCGTATGGGCCAATAGGCCTTCTGCAGTTACCTTTGTTCTTATGTTCCTATGTTTAGAATCAAATTTCGTAATACCAGTTGTTGTTTAGATTTTGTTTTAATTGTTTTTTAAATTTGTTTTTTAGGGTGGAGAGGTATTTCATAATAGTGTGTAATAGATGGGAAGAGTTTCAGGAAGATACAGTATTGGCATTGGTACAGCAACATTCAACTACGTCCTGTTGAAACTTTGGGACAGTATAAAAGTTTATATTTTTGTGGTTGAGGGGCGATGTAGATGTGATAGTTCACTGGGCGTGGTTGGCTTGGCGTGGTTGATGGACTGGCTGTCTGGGCTTGATTGGCTTGGCGTGGTTGTCTGGGCGTGGTTGAGCATGGCTGGGCGTGGTTGATCTGGGCTTGATTGGCTTGGCGTGGTTGTCTGGGCGTGGTTGACAGGGCGATGGTTACTGCGGGTGGCTAGAGGAGGCCTGTGCCCTCACGGCAGATGCCATGTACTTCCTGAAAAAGTCTGTGGTTGCCCTGGCCACCTCGGGGGAGAGACCGCCATACTGGTAGCCTAGAGGGTAGAACCCAGTTGTGGTGGTGGTGGTTGGGTCGTCTGGAGCCAGGAGGGCCAACTCCGCCAGGTAGTTGTAGGCAGCGTGGAAGTTACTGGTGGCTTGCTCCACCTGTTGGCGAACACAGCACAGCGTTAGCCACCTTTCACCACCTCCTGCTCTAGTCCACACTGTAAGCAAGGCAGCTACACCTTTCAGTCATGATGGAACATAACGAAAACCTGCCACTCTAATCACCACCACAACAACCTCACCATCAGCTAAAGCTTTGGTGTAAGATGCAGGTAACAATAAGCTTACACCATCAGACATGCAATAAAACCACAATCTGCATGGGAGCACCCACCACCCCCGCCGTGGGCGCCCTACTGGCAAGGTGCGACTGTACCTATCATGAAAAATGGGAGGAAATAGATCACCCACAACACCTTAGAGATGAAGACCTGGCCTTAATGCCCTACAAAATACCCCTCAACACAGTAACATAATACACGGTGGCTCTGTATCCCCCACACACCACCCATGCAGCATCAGCACCAACAGCACCACCAGCAGCACCAGCAGCAGTAGCATTAAGGGCCCCACGTGTTCCACTAGACATTGTACCTAACAATGACTTTACACGTCGAACTGAAAATCTGCTGTACATGCACATAATCATAATAATAACGTAATAAACAACATACTCCGAAACAACCCCAAGAAACACTAAGCGATCACATAATGTACATATATTCATCACAACACACCTTCTCAATCCTGCTTCACAACCCTCCTTCACATCCCCCTCCTTAACAACGTTTAGTCACGAGGTGGAAAAGCAATAATCAACCGGGTCCTAAGTCGTGTAGTGATCCACTAAACGTTAACACCAGTGTAACTAGCCAGACAGGAAACACCAAAAAAGACAGTTATCATCCCAGCCAGAAACAGTCAACTGGAAAGACCTGAAAAACAGGAAGAACATTGCCCTCTGTACTGCATCCCGCCTGCTACCAGGTACAGAGATATTAACGGGTACAGGTCTCCCACATCAGGTACAGGTCTCCAACATCAGGTACAGGTCTCCCACATCAGGTACAGGTCTCCTACATCAGGTACAGGTCTCCCACAACAGGTACAGGTCTCCCACATCAGGTACAGGTCTCCCACATCAGGTACACGTCTCCCACATCAGGTACACGTCTCCCACATCAAGTACAGGTCTCCCACATCAGGTACAGGTCTCCCACATCAGGTACAGGTCTCCCACATCAGGTACAGATCTCCCACATCAGGTACAGGTCTCCCACAACAGGTACAGGTCTCCCACATCAGGTACAGGTCTCCCACATCAGGTACAGGTCTCCCACATCAGGTACACGTCTCCCACATCAGGTACACTTCTCCCACAACAGGTACAGGTCTCCCACAACAGGTACAGGTCTCCCACATCAGGTACACGTCTCCCACATCAGGTACAGGTCTCCCACATCAGGTACAGGTCTCCCACATCAGGTACAGGTCTCCCACAACAGGTACAGGTCTCCCACATCAGGTACAGGTCTCCCACATCAGGTACAGGTCTCCCACAACAGGTACAGGTCTCCCACATCAGGTACAGGTCTCCTACATCAGGTACAGGTCTCCCACATCAGGTACAGGTCTCCCACATCAGGTACACGTCTCCCACATCAGGTACACTTCTCCCACAACAGGTACAGGTCTCCCACAACAGGTACAGGTCTCCCACATCAGGTACACGTCTCCCACATCAGGTACAGGTCTCCCACATCAGGTACAGGTCTCCCACATCAGGTACAGGTCTCCCACAACAGGTACAGGTCTCCCACATCAGGTACAGGTCTCCCACATCAGGTACAGGTCTCCCACAACAGGTACAGGTCTCCCACATCAGGTACAGGTCTCCTACATCATGTACAGGTCTCCCACAACAGGTACAGGTCTCCCACATCAGGTACAGGTCTCCCACATCAGGTACACGTCTCCCACATCAGGTACACTTCTCCCACATCAGGTACACGTCTCCCACATCAAGTACAGGTCTCCCACATCAGGTACAGGTCTCCCACATCAGGTACACGTCTCCCACAACAGGTACAGGTCTCCCACATCAAGTACAGGTCTCCCACATCAAGTACAGGTCTCCCACATCAAGTACAGGTCTCCCACATCAGGTACAGGTCTCCCACATCACGTACATGAACATTTAATGCTGTAGAACGGCTAAGACAGACCGAGTGAAGACCATCCATATGCCTGGGAGAGTGGGATTAACACGACAGAAGGAACAAAATGGAAATGGACAATCCCTCGACCACTGCTCGTTCAGCTGTAACATGTTCCAGCAGCTGAGGCACCAACTGCACATGTTCCAGCAGCTGAGGCAACAACTACACATGTTCCAGCAGCTGAGGCAACAACTACACATGTTCCAGCAGCTGAGGCAACAACTACACATGTTCCAGCAGCTGCGGCACCAACTACACATGTTCCAGCAGCTGAGGCAACAACTACACATGTTCCAGCAGCTGCGGCACCAACTACACATGTTCCAGCAACTGAGCCAACAACTACACATGCTCCAGCAGCTGAGGCTCCAACTACACATGACTCAGTATTGCTCTCTGTAACTAAAGTAGTTTCCTAACAACTAATTCCCATAAAATAATCCAAGATAAATGAATAAATAACGAGTATTTAGAAATACGGTGAAAACAGTTTTTCATTAATTTAATTAATTTTATCGAGGACAGGAAGCCTGTGTCTATCGAGGTTCCCGTAAGGTCGAACCACCGACTTTTCTCAGGATTCAACCCCACAACAGTTACATAACTCTTTGGTACCTATTTATTATTAAATGAAAATTGTTATTAGGTGAAAGGAAACGTACTCAACCATATCTGAGCCGGCCGGGGATCGAATCCAGAATCACCGATTGTGTGTCGAGAACGAAGTCAACTGCACTAAAAGCCTAAATTTTGTGCTGTACTTTAGAAATACAAAACCAAGAATGTAGTTTGTCAACCCATTGTGTTCAGGAACTTTCCCGCCACCGCCAGCAGGCTGGGTAGCGGCGTCTACAGTAAACTAATTAAACTAAAACACAGCTTACCTCAGGGGTGAAGCCAGCGTGGAACTGTGGTTGAGGGAGATGACCGCTCGCAGGTTCCTGGGGGAGCCCCGAGGCCAGGACCACCAGCAGGCAGCTCTGGTGAGGGGAATCCAAAGTTTACTTACTGTGGGGTGTAGCCTACACATGACTGTAAAGCTGCCGCCCAGTTGGGTGGGTGTGGGGTAGAGGGAGAGAATTATCAGGGGAAAAGCGCCAAGCCGTTACGACTATATAGTACTTGGAAGGAGTCAGGATAAGGATTATATATATATATATATATATATATATATATATATATATATATATATATATATATATACAGTATATATATATATATATATGTCGTACCTAGTAGCCAGAACTCACTTCTCAGCCTACTATTCAAGGCCCGATTTGCCTAATAAGCCAAGTTTTCCTGAATTAATATATTTACTATAATTTTTTTCTTATGAAATGATAAAGCAACCCTTTTCTCTATGTATGAGGTCAATTTTTTTTTATTGGAGTTAAAATTAACGTAGATATATGACCGAACCTAACCAACCCTACCTAACCTAACCTAACCTATATTTATAGGTAAGGTTAGGTTAGGTAGCCAAAAAAAGCTAGGTTAGGTTAGGTTAGGTAGGTTAGGTAGACGAAAAAACATTAATTCATGAAAACTTGGCTTATTAGGCAAATCGGGCCTTGAATAGTAGGCTGAGAAGTGCGTTCTGGCTATTAGGTACGACATATATATATAGGTACGACATATATATATATATATATATATATATATATATATATATATATATATATATATATATATATATATATATATATATATATATATATATATAAACAAATAGAAATCACGCTTACCACAACAGCCAGAGCGATCATGTTTCGAGCGGGTTCCTGTTAGCTGGAGAGGAGTGTTGGGTGTTGGCCGACGGTGCTGGCACTGTGTCAACCGTCCAGCCTCGTGGGTCTTTATACAGCCGGAGGCGGCCAGTGAGGCTCGAACCACAAGCATGACGGTGGCGCAGCAGGAGGCGAGAGTGTGAAACCAGGCGAGTCGCCCCTCCACATGATAGGTCGCGTCTGGTCAAAGGTCAACTGCGGCCATTCTCAGTTCATTGCAATAGGGTAGAAAACCAAACAGCGCAGTACAATGGTTTACGAACAGTATATCCACTTGGACACGCCGCTGACTCTACACAACAGCAGTGTCTGCGAGAATAAGTGCATTACTCCTTCTAAAGACTTCCTCACCAGAGTTAGCCTCCGGCCTTCCGTGTTGGGCGCCTACAAGCACTCCGGCAGGCGGTGGCGGACGCTGGTAAATACAAAATCTGGGCGACGATAGCAACTGGCTGAACAGTTTTCACCTGCCATGATCTGTGTCCCTCCGTTTCTTACGTCCAGGCTGTGAAAGGTGGCAAAGTTCACACGTAGACAAAATAAAAAGGGCGTCTTGTAGAAATAAAGTATCCGCGACCATGAGCAGGCACAAGAAGGGAGAGACGGGCAGCGAGTTATCCCAATAACACGAATCCCTGCAAGAATACCACAACAGACCAGCAATCAAAACCACAGCTGCAGCTCTAACAACACAAAACAGTTATCCAAGGAACCATCAGCCGTAAACTAGAAACCTAGCGCACTACGCACACTTTCCGAGAGTTCTATCATAACTACAGGGAGAGGGAACCACTTTTGCTGGAAATCCTCACTTGAACTGATTCAGTGTTTGTTAAACTGTGCCTGTGAGTCGACACTGTAACACTGTTGAATGACTGGATAAAGTCGAGAGAAAAGACAGTTGACAAGACTGAGTGCAGTGTCTGACAGTGAACAAGACTGAGTGCAGTGTCTGACAGTTGACAAGACTGAGTGCAATGTCTGACAGTGAACAACACTGAGTGCAGTGTCTGACAGTGAACAAGACTGAGTGCAGTGTCTGACAGTGACAAGACTGAGTGCAATGTCTGACAGTGAACAAGACTGAGTGCAGTGTCTGACAGTGAACAAGATTGAGTACAGTGTCTGACAGTGAACAACACTGAGTGCAGCGTCTGACAGTGAACAAGTCTGAGTGCAGCGTCTGACAGTGAACAACACTGAGTGCAGCGTCTGACAGTGAACAAGACTGAGTGCAGTGTCTGACAGTGAACAAGGCTGAGTGCAGCGTCTGACAGTGAACAAGACTGAGTGCAGCGTCTGACAGTGAACAAGACTGAGTGCAGCGTCTGACAGTGAACAAGACTGAGTGCAGTGTCTGACAGTGAACAAGGTTGAGTGCAGCGTCTGACAGTGAACAAGACTGAGTACAGTGTCTGACAGTGAGCAACACTGAGTGCAGTGTCTGACAGTGAACAAGACTGAGTGCAGCGTCTGACAGTGAACAAGTCTGAGTGCAGCGTCTGACAGTGAACAAGTCTGAGTGCAGCGTCTGACAGTGAACAAGACAGAGTGCAGTGTCTGACAGTGAACAAGTCTGAGTGCAGCGTCTGACAGTGAACAAGACAGAGTGCAGTGTCTGACAGTGAACAAGTCTGAGTGCAGTGTCTGACAGTGAACAAGTCTGAGTGCAGCGTCTGACAGTGAACAAGACAGAGTGCAGTGTCTGACAGTGAACAAGTCTGAGTGCAGCGTCTGACAGTGAACAAGACTGAGTACAGTGTCTGACAGTGAACAAGACTGAGTACAGCGTCTGACAGTGAACAAGTCTGAGTGCAGCGTCTGACAGTGAACAAGTCTGAGTACAGCGTCTGACAGTGAACAAGTCTGAGTACAGCGTCTGACAGTGAACAAGTCTGAGTACAGCGTCTGACAGTGAACAAGTCTGAGTGCAGCGTCTGACAGTGAACAAGTCTGAGTGCAGCGTCTGACAGTGAACAAGTCTGAGTACAGCGTCTGACAGTGAACAAGTCTGAGTACAGCGTCTGACAGTGAACAAGTCTGAGTACAGCGTCTGACAGTGAACAAGTCTGAGTGCAGCGTCTGACAGTGAACAAGTCTGAGTGCAGCGTCTGACAGTGAACAAGTCTGAGTGCAGCGTCTGACAGTGAACAAGTCTGAGTGCAGCGTCTGACAGTGAACAAGTCTGAGTGCAGCGTCTGACAGTGAACAAGTCTGAGTGCAGCGTGGAGCTAGGCGGTATGATACCTAGGAACTAGGCGGCATGATACCTAGGAGCTAGGCGGTATGATACCTAGGATCTAGGTGGCATGATACCTAGGAGCTAAGCGGAATGATACCTAGGAGCTAGGCGGTATGATACTTAGGAGCTAGGCGGCATGATACCTAGGAGCTAGGTGGTATGATACCTTGGAGCTAGGCGGCATGATACCTAGGTGGCATGATACCTAGGAGCTAGGCGGTATGATACCTAGGAGCTAGGTGGAATGTTACCTTGGAGCTAGGCGGTATGATACCTTGGAGCTAGGCGGCATGATACCTAGGAGCTAGGCGGCATAATACCTAGGAGCTAGGCGGAATGTTACCTTGGAGCTAGGCGGTATGATACCTAGGAGCTAGGCGGCATGATACCAAGGAGCTAGGTGGTATGATACCTACGAGCTAGGCGGTTTGATACCTAGGAGCTAGGCGGTATGATACTTAGGAGCTGGGCAGTAGTTTACCTAGGAGCTAGGCGGTATGATGCCTAGGAACTAGGCGGTATGATATGTAGGAGCTGGGCTGCATGATACCTAGGAACTAGGCTCTATGATACCTAGGAGCTAGGCGGTTTGATATCTAGGAGCTAGGCGGTATGATACTTAAGAGCTAGGCGGTATGATACCTAGGAGCTAGGCGGTATGATACGTAGGAGCTAGGTGGTATGATACCTAGGAGCCAGGTGGTATGATACCTAGGAGCTAGGTGGTATGATACGTAGGAGCTAGGCAGTATGATACCTAGGAGTTGGGCAGAATGATACCTAGGAGCTGGGTGGTATGATACCTAGGAGCTGGGCAGTATGATACCTAGGAGGTATGATACCTAGGAGCTAGGCAGTATGATACCTAGGAGCTAGATGGTATGAAGTAGTAGGATATGCTAGGCAGCATGATACCTAGGAACTAGGCGGCATGATACCTAGGAGCTAGGCGGTATGATACCTAGGATCTAGGTGGCATAATACCTAGGAGCTAGGCGGAATGATACCTAGGAGCTAGGCGGCATGATACCTAGGTGGCATGATACCTAGGAGCTAGGCGGTATGATACCTAGGAGCTAGGTGGTATGATACCTACGAGCTAGGCGGTTTGATACCTAGGAGCTAGGCGGTATGATACTTAGGAGCTGGGCAGTAGTTTACCTAGGAGCTAGGCGGTATGATGCCTAGGAACTAGGCAGTATGATATGTAGGAGCTGGGCTGTATGATACCTAGGAACTAAGCGCTATGATACCTAGGAGCTAGGCAGTTTGATATCTAGGAGCTAGGCGGTATGATACTTAAGAGCTAGGCGGTATGATACCTAGGAGCTAGGCGGTATGATACGTAGGAGCTAGGTGGTATGATACCTAGGAACCAGGTGGTATGATACCTAGGAGCGACTCACAGACCGTGCGTTTTACTTTTGCCAGCTTGCGGTCTATGAGTTGTGATTTTTTTCCGTGAAACACCAGCACATGGTCTGTGAGACTTTTTTCAAGGATTTCAATGGTTGGTCTTTGGCCCCTGCAATTTCGCTTAAAGGGATTAAACTGCAGGCTTCTATCGCACCCAAATTTCGTCACCTCGGTGACCCTGCACAGGCATTGCCAATGGTCAATGACGTCATCAGCTAGCCAATCTTCATTTTCCCATAATAAGTCCATTTTCTGCAATATCATATTTAAACCCATTTTCATATTGTTTTCCCATCTTCAAAGAACATTTTCTAGTTAAGACTGCATATTAAACATAAGAAATGAAATTACAGAAGGTTTTTGTAGGGGACCAAACAGGATCGTTTATTGAGCACAGGAATGGATGAAATCCACTGTCATGGACCTTGGTGCCATCTATGATCCAGGTGCCAAACTACAGAAATTGACCCACCCATTAATCATAGTTTCCCATCTTTTAGTCTGCCAGGCTGAAAGGTGACGAGTAACCAGGAGCAGGTAAGGGAGGTCAGTGAAGTCGGGACAGTGGAAGACTTGGATCAACCTGAAGGTGCTAGCCAAGTGGGCAAGTTGAGCGCTGTGTTGAGGACTGAAGACTTCACTCCTGGAGGTGCTAGTCAGTGGGGCTAGGTGAGCACTGTTACCAGACATAGTTCGACAATGCTCGTATATCATTAGCAATGTAAATAATTCTAGGGGTAATATCACTGCACCTAGTTAATATACCAGTATGCCTCTAGCTGGAACAGATTAAATTTAAATCAAAACAAGATAAGGATAAGAGAAAATTCATATAAATAATAACAGGTATATAATATGAACAATCACTCCTACTTTAAATGATCATTATTAACACAAGAATATAACACATGAGATGGCTGTAAAATATATATGGTTCTCTACACATGAAATATCACTCCCTACTGTACAAAAGATGCTACTACTTAACCTGAGATGCTTATTGATCAAATGCCCAGCCTCTACTAACTAGCTCGCGCTTCACACAAAAACTCCCCCTCCATCCTCCTCACAAGGAGATGGTGAACGAGTAAATTTACATAATTTAATGGTAGTGACAAAAGTATTTGTTCTTAAACACATAAAATTATTACCCCAATGTTGTAATGTATACACAAAATATAACTAAAAATAATATGCTTTAATAATTGGTAACTAAGACCAAGCTAGCTGGTGTTTTGAATGTTTTTTCCTTCCAGGAAAATATATTCTTTAGTGGGAGGTTGTGTGAGGGAATGGAAATTCCCTCAGCTAGTTTCCAAGTTCCTAGATTAGGCTAGAGTCGCTCTAGTGCGCTCTAGACAGGAAGTTTTCAAACTACCAGTACTTGTGTGGTGTTGGATGAAAGCTTATTCTAAGGACCATCGTTTAAGACTAGCCATGAGTCTGTGACTGATCTGTAGAAAGAGTTACAGAATTTTTCCTGTTTTCTGAGAAATGGGACTTGAGAGTGTGAGGTGCAGGTGGGTACTTCACTAGCCAACGGTTTTATAGGTGGACGGACAGAGGGGTGAACATCGCCTCCCCAGCCTTGTGACATTACGGGACACCTCAAGGCGTCTCGTCTGTGATTCGTCTAGGCATCTCAGCCTTGAGGTGATGTTTAGGTGCGAACGGCTGTAATTGGAAGGGGCACGATAGGCAGTGCCGGCTTTGCTCTGATTGGTCATGACAAGGTGAGGGGGGGGGGGGAGACGGGCAATTTGAGTTTCCCTGGCCCGCCAAATCTTCAGTCTAGAGGCGGGAATCAAGCTGGCTGGATGCCCAGGGGTTGGGGTGGCATGTCTGCCACCTCCACCACCATTAATCGCTGTGTCGTCCTTATTACTCACCGCGCACAGTAATCCTGTCATTGTGGATCGTGTCGGGATCCAATTTGCATAATCTTGTGCCAAGGAGTAAGGAAGGAACTGTGTAAGACTCTAGACATGAGCTCACCCATGAGGCACCAGGCAAGCCTCGTGGTGTATCAGGTGGTATAGCTCACATCTGATGAGTTGTCTTGTCTATGATAACTGGCAAGTGGCAGAATTGGGCAGGGCTACCTAGTGTTCATGGGAGCGCAATATTTGGGAAATTACAGTTGGACATTGAAATTCCACCTTGCCATGTCCGCATGTTGTGCCACCCGCCATTATCACACCCAGTGTACGAGCATGCCATGCTCGTGGTGTGTGTGGGTGTGAGGGAAACTCAATAGCGGATGCATCACAATAGCATGATACATCAAATGAACACATCCCGCAGTCTGTGAGTCGTAATTTTTTTTCCGTGGATTTCAACGGTCTGTCTTTGGCCTCTGTCATTTCACTCAAGGGAATTAACCTGCAGACTTCCGTCGCACCCAAAATTCGTCACCTCAGTGACCTTGCACAGGCATTGCCAATGGTCAGTGATGTCATCCAGTCCTCATCTTCCTTGTATATGACCGTTTTCTGATATGAAATATTTATTCCGATTTTCAGTATATATGTCAAGGGGATTAAAATGCTGCCTTCCGTTGCACTTAAATTTCGTTACCTCGGTGACCCTGCACAGACATAGCTAATGGTCAATGATGTCAGTCAATTTTCGTCTCCCCTGAATAAGCCCGTTTTCTGTAATAACATATTTAAACCCATTCTCTAAATGGTTCCAATTTTCGCAGTTCATTTTCTAGATAAGATCGCATATTGAACATAAGAAATGAAATTGTAGATCAACTAGCTATTAGATGAACTGCAGTAGGTCTATTCCCTGTTAATATCCCCTTTCAATAATAACTCTCCCTTAATAGTCGGTATGATACCTAGGTGCTAGGGTGTATGATACCTAGGAGTTAGGGGGGTATGATACCTAGGAGCTAGGTGGTATGATACCTTGGAGCTAGGCGGTATGCTACCTAGGAGCTAGGCAGAATGATACCTAGGAGCTGGGCAGTATGATACCTAGGAGCTGGGTGGTATGATACCTAGGAGCTAGGCGGAATGATACGTAGGAGCTAGGCAGTATGATACCTAGGAGCTAGGCAGTATGATACCTAGGAGCTAGGCAGTATGGCATAGCTGTAATGGGCGACAATGGTAAGCTGGTAATAGGCACTGAGAATGACATTATGGGTTGTAATGGTGTCACTGAAATAAATGACACAGCCCGTCCTCTTAGAAAATATGTCTTTTTTCGCCAATATTCATTATGGGAAAAATTCGCTGTATTGGAAATTCCCCAAAAATGTAAATATTTTTTCCAAAGGAAATGGACACAAAACATCAAGTTAAGGGTCCTCTGGTAGGTTAGGAAGGCAGGAAGTTCTCCTAAGGTTTCGAAACGTCATGAAAACCATTAATTTAAAGTGTCCTCCTCCTAACCTAACAGACTAAACCTGAGGACCCAAAACAGAAAACGGGACAGTGAATTACTTTCGCAAGCTGCTTTAATTTTTTAGTACAGCGATTTTTAGCCTTAGTGCGCATTCGTGCGAAACAATCCGTCCTCTTAAAAATAACGTCGCTTTTCGTTTCTGTGCACGCTATGGCCAAATATGGACGCAATTTGAAATGAAATCGGCTCACCGTGTCGTTTTCTGTTTGATTCGTCTGGCTTACTCAAAAAGGTTAGAAGAAACTTTCAATTAACGTTTTTCATAACGTTTTGAAACCTTAGGTGAACTTCTTGCCCCCTTAACCTACCAGAGGACCCTTAACTTACTGTTTTAGAAAAAAAATCCCAAATTTATTTTAAATTTTTTTTCATTTTCAAATTACGTCCATTTTTTACCATTCGGGTAAACGGCCTAATTCAGATGTAATTTGTAGGAGGACAGGTCGATCGAAAAGCGACGTAATGTGTAGGAGGACGGGTTTAGCCAGTACAGTTAGAATGTGCAGGTATTTAACATTAGGAACTAGATATAAACAGGTCTCGGGGAAGCAGTTGTTAGGCCAGCTTCATTCTCATCTCTCCTCTACAAAACACTGTTGTATAGTGTTGAATATTTATATTTGACAACACTGAAGATATATGAGGCTAGCATATTAAAGCCATTCCTTTAGGTACTGCCTAACTAGCAAATATGCTAGTTGAGCAGCTGCGTTTAGAAACACAGTTCAGGATAAAAAAAAGTACATTCTCAGTATATATACACCAGGAAGAAGGGTACCTCTCTTTGTGTATATCTCCGCATAATTGGGGTTAGACAGGGCAGTTAATACAACCTGTTTAGACAGGTTGCAGGTTCACATTACTTTCTGCCACCACTCCTTATGGCTTTTTTATGTTCTTTATATATATCTTTCCGAGGTTGGCGGCCTGATGGTTGGGGTTAGCTTAACCCATTTTTCACAGTAATTGCTGTTGGGTACATACACCCAACAAGCGTAGGTTCTGACTTGTCATCAAAGAGAAGACTGCCACGTAATACTGTGCCAAGGTTACCCGTATAGTGAATATTTTAATATCATTAAATGGACCCAGAATCATATTGTTTTCCTTTTTTCTTTTTACGTTGAAAACATTGATTACTATAATTCACAAAATTCTCACAAAATACTATATCATAATACGCAAGATATGGAGTGGCTTCCCAGGGGTGAGGGAGTCTCTCAGGGGTTGGTGAGTTACTGGGGGGGGGGGGGTTGGAGGGCGGTGGGGGGGAGTGAGGGGGGTTTAACACACCTTACTTGTGTTACTAGCGCCTTCCTAGAATTTATATGCATTTTATGTTAATCTATTATAAAGACTTTTTCTCTTTCTTAGAGAGAGTGAGAAAGAGAGAGAGAGAGAGAGAGAGAGAGAGAGAGGGGGGGGAGGATCTTGAGATGATGATTTCGGGGCTTTTTAGTGTCCCCGCGGCCCGGTCCTCGACCAGGCCTCCACCCCCAGGAAGCAGCCCGTGACAGCTGACTAACACCCAGGTACCTATTTTACTGCTAGGTAACAGGGGCATAGGGTGAAAGAAACTTTGCCCATTGTTTCTCGCCGGCGCCTGGGATCGAACCCAGGACCACAGGATCACAAGTACAGCGTGCTGTCCGCTCGGCCGACCGGCTCCCTCCCGGGAAGGTATAAGTCGGTCCACGATAAATATACATTAAGAAATTATTTTAGTTTTGAACTTCATTAAGGAGTGAAGCAATCTAACTACTTGATCAATAACATATTATACTCGTCACGCATTAAGCTCAACACTAAACCCAAATTTCCGGGTTAAATCCTCACTACAGTTACATGTTGCCAGTCTCAAGACAAGATCATTCCAGGCCCAGCTGACGTGGTGTTTACAACCCACTCTGGTAACACTAACTAGGCCACACTCTTCCTCCCATTTGACACATTATGGTAACTCTTATCACCCATTCGTATCAACATTTAAATAAGCATATTTAAAATTTTATTTATTCAAAATAACAGCCTAAGTCGCCAGATGTTGGTACCAAATTGTATTCTAAGTATTCAAAATTCAATTCGGTAATAGCAGTTGTTTTTTAGGTTTTGTTTTTAATTGTTTTTATATTTGTTTTTTTAGGGAGAAAAAGTCTTTTATAATAGGGTGTAATAGACAGAAAGAGTTTCAGGAAGATACAGTATATTGACATTCGTACAGCAACGTTCAACTACGTCCCGCTGGAAGTTTGCCAGATTATAAAAGTTTATATTTTTCTGGTTGATGGGCGATGCAGCTTTGATAGTTCACTGGGCGTGGTTGTCTGGGCGTGGTTGTCTGGGCGTGGTTGTCTGGGCGTGGTTGTCTGGGTGTGGTTGTCTGGGCGTGGTTGTCTGGGCGTGGTTGTCTGGGTGTGGTTGTCTGGGTGTGGTTGTCTGGGCGTGGTTGTCTGGGTGTGGTTGTCTGGGCGTGGTTGTCTGGGCGTGGTTGACTGGGCGATGGTTACTACGGGTGGCTGGAGGAGGCCTGTGCCCTCACGGCAGCTGCCATGTACTTCATGAAGAAGTCTGAGGTCGCGCTGGCCACCTCGGGGGTGAGACCGCCATACTGGTAGCCTGGTGGGAAGGGCACAGGTGTAGTGGTGGTGGGGACGTGGGTGGGCAGGACGGTGGGCAGGATGGTGGGCAGATCGGTGGGCAGGTCGGTGGGCAGGACGGTGGGCAGGTCGGTGGGCAGGTCGGTGGGCAGGACGGTGGGCAGGTCGGTGGGCAGGTCGGTGGGCAGGACGGTGGGCAGGACGGTGGGCAGGTCGGTGGTTGGGTCGTCTGGAGCCAGGAGGGCCAACTCCGCCAGGTAGTTGTAGGCAGCGTGGAAGTTACTGGTGGCTTGCTCCACCTGTTGGGGAACACAGCACAGCGTTAGCCACCTTTCACCACCTCCTACTCTAGTCCACACTGTAAGCAAGGTAGCTACAGCTTTCAGTCATGATGGAACATAACGGAAACCTACATTAGCCAACTGCATTAAAAGACCCAGTTTTTGCGCTGTACTTTAGAAATACAAAACCAAGAATGTGGTTCGTCAACCCATTGTGTTCAGAAACTTTCCCGCCACCGCCAGCAGGCTGGGTAGGGGCGTCTACAGTAGACTAATTAAACTAAAACACAACTTACCTCAGGGGTGAAGCCAGCGTGGAACTGTGGTTGAGGGAGATGACCGCTCGCAGGTTCTTGGGGGAGCCCCGAGGCCAGGACCACCAGCAGGCAGCTCTGACAAGGAGAATCCAAAGTTTACTTACTGTGGGGTGTAGCCTACACATGACTGTAAAGCTGCCGCCCAGTTGGGTGGGTGTGGGGTAGAGGGAGAGAATTATCGGAGGGATACCTTCAAGCCATTACGACTATATATCACTTGGAAGGGGTCAGGATAAGGATTAGGGATGTGACAGGTGGAAGGAATGGTGCCCAACCCATTAGACGGTTGGGGGATTGAACGCCGACCTGCATGAGGCGAGACCGTCGCTCTGCCATCCAGCCCAAGTGGTTAGAGCAGGATTAGTATGGAGCAGGAGCAGCAGGATGCTCAGGATTGGAGCATCCTAACTCACTAGTTAGGATGAGTGACTGACAACAGACAACTGCCTTGCAAAGAGACTGTGTGGACCTCTTTTTGAATCACTTGGGATATAAAAATTGATATGTATATGTATTTGTTTAAGTTTTATATATATATATATATATATATATATATATATATATATATATATATATATATATATATATATATATATATATATATATATATATATATATATATATATATATGTGTGTGTGTGTATTACAAAATTGTAAAATTGTGTAACTAGCTTCACAAGACTGTAACGTGCTTAGCTAAATTAATTGTGGGGTTTAATTCCTGAGCCCATTATGTGCCTCTGTAACCCTTTCCAACAGCGTCCACGGGATGGGTATAGGGTGCATAATAAATGACTAAACAGGGGAGGGAAAATGATCAGATTGGAGTTCAACAACAGTGGAAAACACTCAGCTGTTGTTATTATTTCCGGAGGTTATGGATTTATAATGTAAATATCCGGGTAACAATAGACTTGGAAAACCTGGATTATTTTAAACGAAGCTTCGTTGAACGTATTCATGTGAAAGCCTTGGTGTAGTGGTAAGGCCTGGCGTTACGCGAGCGCTTTGTCATGGGTTCGTATCCTGGCCGGGGAGGATTTACTGGGCGCAAATCCTTAACTGTAGCCTCTGTTTAATTCAACAGTAAAACGTGTACTTGGTTGAAAAAACGATTCTTCGCGCATTGGATTGTATTCCAGGGACCTGCCCGAAACGCTACGCGTACTAGTGCAACCCGTTCTTGCACTTTCTTACAGTCAATATTGACTTATTAAATAAGTGCTTATGTGACATACTAATTTATTGTGAATATTTTAGTTTACCTTGAAAAGCTTCATAGAAAACACCGACCTCACCTAACCTTTTTAGTATGTTAAGATAATTGTTTCTAAATTACAATTATTACTTAACCTATTATAGGTATAGGTTAAGTAATAATTGTAATTATGAAGCAATAAGATGCTTATCTTAACATACTAAGAAGGTTAGGTAAGGTCGGTGTTTTCTATGAAGCTTTTCAAGGTAAACTAAAATATTCACAATAAATTAGTATGCCGCATATGCACTTATTTAATAAGTCAATATTGACTATACAAAAGTGCGAGAACGGGTTGACTAGTGGCTGTACAAGGATGTAACAACTCTTGTATATATCTCAAAAAACAAAAATCATGGAGACAGGGGAGGGGGGCGCCTGACAGCTGAGTGGACAGCGTTTCGGATCCGTAGTCCTGAGGTTCCGGGATCAATCCCCAGTGGAGGCGGAGACAAATGGGCAATAAGTTTCTTTCATCCTGATGCCCCTGTTACCTAGCAGTAAATAGATACTTGGGAGTTAGACAGCTGCTACGGGCTGCTTCCTGGGGGTGTGTAACAAAAAGGAGGCCTAGTCGAGGACCGGGCCGTGGGGATGCTAAGCCCCGAAATAATCTCAAGATGGTGCACACCACCATCGATTTTGGTGGTGTGCACAGAGTGCACGGTTATAACTTACATTTTGTTTGTTAGTCCTATTCAGTCTATGTGCATTTTCATCTCAGATTAAACAAATCAAAATGCTATACATAACATGCAAGTGTTATGCGCGATGGAATGTCTTGTTAGGAGGAAATGTCAAACATGTTTGTTTAAATCTTGACTTTTCTGAGTCCAGAGAGTATAATGTAAATATATTCATTTGTGTTTAATATGTAACTTAGTACTTATAGCTTATGTCACAGTACATATGTACATTTAAGCAAATTATAATCACGCTTACCACAACAGCCAGAGCGATCATGTTTCGAGCGGGTTCCTGTTAGCTGGAGAGGAGTGTTGGGTGTTGGCCGACGGTGCTGGCACTGTGTCAACCGTCCAGCTTCGTGGGTCTTTATACAGCCGGAGGCGGCCAGTGAGGCTCGAACCACAAGCATGACGGTGGCGCAGCAGGAGGCGAGGGTGTGAAACCAGGCGGGTCGCCCCTCCACATGATAGGTCGCGTCTGGTCAAAGGTCAACTGCGGCCATTCTCAGTTCATTGCAATAGGGTAGAAAACCAAACAGCGCAGTACAATGGTTTACGAACAGTATATCCACTTGGACACGCCGCTGACTCTACACAACAGCAGTGTCTGCGAGAATAAGTGCATTACTCCTTCTAAAGACTTCCTCACCAGAGTTAGCCTCCGGCCTTCCGTGTTGGGCGCCTACAAGCACTCCGGCAGGCGGTGGCGGACGCTGGTAAATACAAAATCTGGGCGACGATAGCAACTGGCTGAACAGTTTTCACCTGCCATGATCTGTGTCCCACCGTTTCTTACGTCCAGGCTGTGATAGGTGGCAAAGTTCAAAAGTAGAAAAAAGGGCGTCTTGGAGAATGAAGAATCCGCGACCATGACAGGCACAAGAAGGGAGAGACGGGCAGCGAGTTATAGCAATACCACAACAGGCCAGCAACTAAAACCACAGCTGCAGCTGTGGTTTTAAGCAGTTATTCGAGGATCCCTCAACCTTAAACTAGAAATCTAGCGCACTACGCACACCTTCCGGGAGTTCTCTCATAACTACGGGAAGAAGGGACCATTTTTGCTGGAAAACTTCAATTGAACTGATTTTGTGTTTGTTGAACTGTGCCTGTGAGTCGACGCTGTAGCATTGTTGAATGAATGGATAAAGCCGAGAGAAATGATAGTGAATAAGACTGAGTGCCAACACAATAACTAACTATTTAGGAATTATACTAGTCTTATCTATAAAGTAGAACAGTAACTTCTGAGTGTACATACAATGAGAACCGGGTGTATATACATAATATATACATCACACTACAGCTTGGAGTAGTTTCCTTAGACAGTTTAACAGTCTAAGGAAACTACTCCAAGCTTGTACTAAAGAGGCACCCTTCTTGAGCCCGGATGGACACATGTATAAGCAAGTAGATGGGGTCGGCATGGGTTCTCCCCTAGGTGTCCTGTTTGCAAACTTCTACATGGGTACCATCGAGCAAAAAGACTTAGTCGACATGAACTTGAAACCGGCCATATACTGCAGGTATGTTGACGACATTTTTACACAGGTACCTGATGTCAGACATCTGCAGGAGCTGAAGGAGGCATTTGAGCAGAATTCTGTGTTGCGTTTCACTTACGAGATGGAGAAGGATGGGAAGCTGCCCTTTCTAGATGTAACAGTCATGGAAAGGAGCGGAGTTTTCCACACTGCAGTCTACACTAAGGAAACAAACATAGGAATGTGCCTCAATGCCAACAGTGACTGCCCGGACAGGTACAAGAGGAGTGTTGTTAACGCTTATGTCGACCGTGCCCTCAGCCACAGCTCAGAATGGAAGCAAGTCGACGAAGAACTCTGTAGGGTAAGGCAGGCCCTAGTCAACAACGGCTTCTCCAATGGTTTTGTGGAAGACATCATAAGAAGGAAAGTGAAACGCCATGCAACCTCTGAAGAGACAACTAACACAACACCTATACCCCCTATTAGACTATTTTACAGGAACTTCTTTTCCACAGCCCATAAAACGGAGGAAAGGGTCCTGAAAGATATTGTCAGTAGAAACGTTATCCCTACAGACAAAAATCAGAAGATACAACTGACGATTTACTCTAAAACCAGAAAAACGGCCAGCCTACTCATGAGAAACTCTCCAGACACAAAGCAGAACGCTTTAAAAGAGACCAACGTCGTCTATGCCTTCAATTGCCCTCTTGGGGACTGTAAGCCTCAAAAAACCCAGTATATAGGCAAGACAACAACATCTCTTTACAGGCGTTTAACGATGCATAAGCAACAGGGCTCCATTAAGGAACATATAATCTCTTCCCACAAACAAACCATCACCAGAGAAATCTTAGCAAACAACACAGAAATCATCGATAAATACAGCGATAGCAGGCGGCTTGACGTCTGCGAGGCACTACACATCAAGAAGTCAACACCAGCAATCAACAGCCAATTAATGCACAACTATATTCTACCCACTTCAAGACTCCGCTCCAATATAGAAGCATCAAGAAATATGGACCAATAGGCTTTCTACAATTACTTCCATTCAATACCCATTGTTTCGTGTTCTGTCTTGTGTTTGAATTTAATACCCATTTAATACCCATTGTTGAAAGTTTGTTTTCACCTCATCCACCTCACCCAAATGTAGATATAAACTCGAAGATGTGCAAGCTCTATTCAGTTTCAGTTGTGTGTTTGTAAACTAAAGTCTTTGAAAATGTAATAAGTTTTACGAAACGCGCTCAAGTGTCGCGTCAGACTAGAAATAAAAATGAATTTTGGAGAATTGATCTTTGAATTACCATCAACAGTGAAAAGAAACGTAAGAAAGATAGAGAAAATTCGTGTTAGAATTATTAATCTTACTTTTTCGGTCATATTTAATAATATATGTCTACAGGAAAGACTGCTACCAAAATATACTAATATATATGACCCAGCATGTATATGCGATAGCAGGGTGCATATATATATATAAGACCCAGCATGTATATATATATATATATATATATATATATATATATATATATATATATATATATATATATATATATATATATATATATATATATACATATATATATATACAAGAGTTGTTACATTCTTGTACAGCCACTAGTACGCGCAGCGTTTCGGGCAGGTCCCTGGAATATGATCCCTGCCACGAAGAATTGTTTTTACAACCAAGTACACATTTTACTGTTCAGTTAAACAGAGGCTACAGGTAAGGATTTGCGCCCAGTAAATCCTCCCCGGCCAGGATACGAACCTATGACAAAGCGCTCGCGGAACGCCAGGCAAGTGTCTTACCACTACACCACGGAGACTGGTAATTACGACTACATAGGACTTGGAAGGGGTCAGGATAAGGATTTGGGATGGGACTGGGTAAAGGAATGGTGCCCAACCACTTGGACAGTCGAGAATTGACCGCCGACCTGCATGAAGCGAGACCGCCGCTCTACCTTCCAGCCCAACTGGACGAGAAAATCCAGAGGAGCCGTCATAAGGATTCGAACCTATGCGCCGGGTATTCCTAGATTCATTGATATATCACTTTACTATGATTTCTCTGTGTGTTATTATTATAATTAATTATAAATAGGATTTGAAAAGGGAATTGAATCTCAGGACTTTTCAGCGGGAGGTCATGTAATTATCCACTCTGCCAAAAGATCTCTCATGAACACATTGGCAGCATGGGGCCACAGGCCAACTGCCCAGTTTGGCATGCTTTGGAACGGAACTGGGTTTAGGCACCTATATATTCTGAAGCACAACACGTCCTGTTTCAATTTTATATATATATACAATACAATACAATTTTATTTAGGTAAGGTACATACATACAATAAATTTTTACAAGGATATATATACAATAATATATACATCATTCGTCATTGATTTAATGTACCTAAATATTTATGTATAAATTCTACAATTAAATTAAATTAGTATGAACATTTTAAATACAAAATAAGAAAGTAAATACAAAGTAAACAATTAAAAATTTAGTGATGTGGGTCTGTTGGTGGCCACCGCAGAAACACACAAGTCTGTCAAATAATAGTTCACGTTTTCTGTAACACAACATTTATAGATGACTGTTGTTAAGAGAAACTTTATTAAAACGTATTTTACTGACGCTTGCTAACCACTAGTTCAAAGTATCGTACCTTATTCAGAATAGTTTATTATTTAATTCATTCACTTATCTCCACTACCTAACCTGGATTTCTCGCCACTGCCACTCCTTCCACCTCCACAAAAGGGCAGAATGGGTTTAGAAAAGGTCAAGTCATGCCTGACAAACCTGGCCGAATTCTATGGATCATTAAATACTACATTGAAAACGCTGTATTTCCCTATATATATTACATATATATATATATATATATATATATATATATATATATATATATATATATATATATATATATATATATATATATATATATATATATATGTCGTACCTAGTAGCCAGAACGCACTTCTTGGCCTACTATGCAAGGCCCGATTTGCCTAATAGGCCGAGTGATTTTCTTTATTTTCAATAAATTGTTTCCAATTAGTTCATTTTAATTATTATTATAATATTATATTAGGAACATACATTATTGACGTAGTTGTGTTAATTTTGGTTAGGTTCGGTTTAGATAGGTTAGGTTAGGTTAGGTTAGGTAGGGTTGGTTAGGTTCGGTCATATATCTACGTTAGTTTTAACTCAAATTTAAAGAAATTAACTTATACATAATGAAATAGCCAGATTTATCGTGGCCTACCCGATGAAGTGCGCTCATAAATGTAATGTTTGCAGACGATACCAATTTGATGAGGTATAAAAAACTCAGGTGTTTATTTTTTTTGGTTTAGTATTGCGACACGTTTCCCTACACCTGATGCACCTGTTCACTTAGCAGTAAATAAATACCCGGGAATTAGAGAATTGTTGTGGACTGCATCAGTAGTGTGCCCATTAGGGAGCCCTGCTTCCCCGCAACCCTGCAGGTCCAGCATCAGCAGTGCTAGACAACAACACAAGGAACAATAAAACTGACAACAGCAAGGACAATGAGTCATAAAGCGGTAACAATAAGTCAGCCACAACACTAAGCCAGATATATTGGTGACAAGAAGTCAGCCACAACACTAAGCCAGTTACATTGGTGACAAGAAGTCAGCCACAACACTAAGCCAGTTATATTGGTGACAAGAAGTCAGCCACAACACTAAGCCAGATATATTGGTGACAAGAAGTCAGCCACAACACTAAGCCAGTTATATTGGTGACAAGAAGTCAGCCACAACACTAAGCCAGTTATATTGGTGACAAGAAGTCAGCCA